ATAACGAAGGGTCCAAGCACGGGAACACTTGTTCAAATACGTTTCGACTCAAATCATCTCCTGCTCTCACGTCTGCGACGCAAGCACGACGCCGTGCGGGTAGACGTGGCGACAAAAAACAAACCTCGATTTCAACGATGGCGATAACGAGCATCGTTGTGATCATCATCGTTGAACGTTGTCGTTGTGATCGTTGTGATTATCGTTAATCGTTTTCGTTGTTCCTCCGTGCGATTGGCAAAGAACACCTCCGTTTGCGACTGCGCAGAGTTCCGACAAAGTTGACATCATTAGGGCTAGTAGTAAACACTTCTTCGGGCAAGATGAAAAATACTTCGCCCGAGCCCGGATGACTCTGTTTAGCCTTGCTTGAGGTTTTAGGAAACACCTCCCTGCGCCCACAGGCGCGCCCCACCATCGCCGAGCCGAATTCTGAAGAGGAGCTGGACATCGTCATTGACGGGATGGAACAAGGAAACAAGTTGCAAATTCGTCGCCGAGCCCCTACATCATAGTCCGCCACTCGCCCTCAGAACTGTTTTGACATTGTGCAGATAAATGTTCGCACGCGACATCGTGCCAGACGAATACGAGGGCGCCGTGCTCCGGGCGCTGCAAAAGATTGCAGGTGCCAAAACCGTTTCGAATTCCAGGCCCATTGCACGTTTACAAGTGTTCTACAACTTGATATCCGACCTGGCTTTGGGCAAGTGTGGAGATGTCCTGGAACATGCGCAACCCGAAGAACGGCATGGTTTCCGCTCTGAACGTTGGCCGGGAAAACATGTGGTCACTACCAACACTGCCGCGGACAAATATTGCCGCGAGAATGCAAATTCGGATCGTCAACGTGGGTTTGCCGAACAACTTTTGACGCGGTGGCACGGCATCCATTGTTGCAAGCACTTCGTGGTCATGGGTTTCCAAACATCAGATCTGGATCATGCGACAAATAAATGCGGATCAAGTGGGTGCCATTGATGGCGAAACGACCTGTGCGGTTGAATTTCCTACGCATGTCCGCTGGCGCCCGCCAAGGGTGCGCGCTGGGCGCAAAGCCGCTCGCGTCCGCCACGGAGTGGGCCATCTCGTGCTGGAAGCAGAACGTTCGACATCTGGGAATCGATCTTGGAGATGGCGAAAAGCGCTTGTCGATTTTGCGCTTTGCAAGCAGCTTGCTTATACTCGCTTATTCGAAAAGAGCGCGTATGGGTGCGCACTTCGTAAACGCGTTCGCGCAAGAGTATTGCCCCTAACGCCGGCAAAAAAACAAAGCAATGACCGCAATGGAACAAGCCCCAACCCACGATCCGCACGCCAAGAGGCTTGGCAATAGACGTGAACAGCAGAAGTCACTGTCATAAACGGTTGGGTTGCGCGCTGTCCACGAAGGGGGCCGCGCGCAGAATGCACCCACAGCATTTACACGAATCTCCATATACTGCGCGACAAGCTGGCTCCCATCCCACATGGGCTGGAGCTGTTCAAGTATGTCGCACCGGCAGCGGCGTGCTTTGCGGCAGAATATCGCCCGATATAAACCTTGAACACAATTGCAATCGAATTTCGCGCCTCGCACGATAAATATGTGGACCACTTCTGGACGCTGACGGGGATGAGCCATGATACGATATGATATACTACACACGTTTGGCAGAAACGCGCAACCAGCTTCGTCGCACGCGCTGGCATTCGCACGCGGGCGCAACGGACCGATCACTGGTCGTTGCAACAAAAAAACAACATGTTCCGCAGTTGCCGGAGACGAAGTGTGTCGGACCAGCTCGAAAATTTGTCACCGCGCGGTCGTCCTGGCATAGGCTAGCCATAATCAGCCATAGCTCACCTGCCATGGAGATTTCGAACTTGTCATCGGCTATCAACAACGCTTTTTGCCTGTAAGCGTCCTCCAACGGCGAACCGCGGCCGCGGACTTCCAGAACTGATGCTGTCATTCCCAATAAACAGGCCGCGTGTGAGCGAACCTCCCTTCTATGGCACATGCTGCTTCCTAGGGTCGTGACGCGCGTGTGTATGGCACGCTGCCGCATGCCACCGCCAGCGCCCTTCATGGGTTCGCCTTCCGACGCGCGGGTTTGCGCTCCTTTCGCTGGCGTATCCACTCGGCCCGTCGGCGGCCCTGGTTTCTCCTCGCGGAGAGAGGGGGCGCCGCCCCCGATCGCCTGAGGTACTCCGCCCTCAGCGCCCGCCGGAACTGCTGGAGATCCCGGGATTCCTCACCCCCCCTCACTCCTCCGTCTTCCCTCCCCCCCCTCCTCCCACGAGGGCCGCGGCGGGTTTGTCGCGACGTCCGCGCGCCGCGCGCCCTGAACTGAATGCCGCCGGAGAGGACAAGGCAAGGCCCTGCGACGACCCAAAAGCGCGCTGCGACGAGCCGGCCACGCAGTCGAGGCGGCGTGCAGCTCGGCTGCACGGCCCGCGCTGGCCAGCCGCAGGGCGGCGCGCAGCTGCCGAGCGGCGGCCCGCTGCAGCGCCGCGCTGGGCTCGCGGCCCCACCGGGCCACGAACAGCCCTGCGAGGGCCTCGGCGGGTCGCGAACTGCCCCGCAAGCGCCTTGGCGGCGCCGCTGTGGCTCGGCCGCACCAGCGCCGCGTGCTCCCAGGCACAGCCGCGCGGAAGTGCCGCGGGGCCACCTGGCGGCCCGCGGTTTCCAGCGCCAACGGCGCCACGCGCCAGGGCGTCTGCCCATCGGAGGGGCGCCGCCGGTGCATGCCAATCTCCGCGGCAACCTTCGCGGCCCGATTTACGGCGCCAGCCCGGCCGGCGGCGGCGCCAAGCGCGTCGGCGTCGCCCAGCGCGCTGTGCTGGACCGCGCACGACGTCCAGGAAGGTGAGCGGCTGCCCTGGTCGCCGCACGTCCAAGTCCAGGATGGCCTAGCCGCGCCCGCCCGTCTAACGCGGGAGCGTGGACCTGGCGCGCAGCGGAATGGCCGCACTCCGCGCGGATGCGCTGCAAACTCGCTCGTTCCCGCTACACGCTTTCCGGCCACTGCCTCGCGAGCAATCCCAGGCGCGGCGGGCCTTGCCGCAGAGGGCCTCGCCGCAGCGCTGTCCCGCACGCCCCCCAGTCCCGTCGCCGTTGCAGTAGGCGGCACCGGGCGGCGCTGCGTCATGCCCGAGGAAGGCACGCGCGGTGGCCCAAGTCCGCGACCGCTAGCCGTCCGCAGAATCTCCGCAGATCGGACGGCGCGCAGCCTGCCGCCATGGCCCCGGCGAAGAGACGTCGTTGATTATGTCAACGTTGGTGGCCTTCTGAAACTTTCTGGCCAGCGTCTCGGTCAACTCTTGCCCAGGGCAGCTCGGCCAGCTCCGCGCCGGGAAGGGGCGGAGGTGGCACCAGCTGCGCGAGCCCGGACAACGCGACGCGGCAAGCGCGGGCGAGCGGGAGTGCGCAGGTCTCCAAAGGTTCTCCAAGTAAACGAAGCCCGTGCGCTCCCGGAATCCGCGCATGGCTGACTCCAGCTGTTTTTGTCTGCGCAAGCCGCGCCCGCTGGTGCGTAGGGGCAGCCTGCAGGCTTGTGCTCAGGAAGTGCGTCATTCTGCTGGTGCCGCAGTACCGCGGCAGGAGCCGGGCGCTCTGCACCGGCGGCAAGTGCGGGGAAGCCGTGGCTGGAGGGGCCGCGAGCGTGGCAAAGAACTCCGCCACTGGCCCCCCCAGTCCCGGCGCAGCGCGCCTGCGCGCAGCGGGGTGCCAAAATCGACTCTGCGCCCGGCGCTCTCGTCCGGCTGAACGGTTTCCCCCGGGGCCGTAGGCGACCCGAGGAGGAGGAAGAGGAGGAGGAGGAGGAGGAGGAGGAGGAGGAGGAGGAGGAGGAGGAGGAGGAGGAGGAGGAGGAGGGGAGGGGGAAGGGGAGGAGAAGGAGCAGGAGGACGGAGGGAGGAGGGAGGAGGGAGAGGAGGGCAGGGGGAGGAGGAGGAGCAGGAGGAGGAGGAGGAGGAGGAGGAGGAGAGGAGGAGGAGGAGGAGGAGGAGGAGAAGGAGGAGGAAGAGGAACAAGAGGAGGTGGAGGAGGAGGAGGAGGAGGCGGAGGACGAACAGGAGGATGAGAGGAGAGGAGGAGGAGGAGGAGGAGGAGGAGGAGGAGGAGGAGGAGGAGGACCAGGAGCAGGAGGAGGAGGAGAAGGAGGAGGAGGAGGAGGAGGAGGAGGATGGGGAGGGGGAAGGGGAAGAGAAGGTCAGGAGGACGGAGGGAGGAAGGAGGAGGAGGGGGGAGGAGGAGGAGGAGGATGGAGGAGGAGAGGAGGGAGAGGAGGAGGAGGAGGAGGAGGAGGAGGAGGAGGAGGAGGAGGAGGAGGAGGAGGAGGAGGAGGAGGGGTCGCCTAAGCCCAACGGAGAAACCCTCCAGTTCGGGGTGCCAAGATCGACTCTGCGCTCGGCGCTCCCGTCCGGCAGTCCACCAACCGACAGGGGGCCCCCAAAACGGCACGCCCACGATCGTGAAGCCTTGCGCGCGCCATTGCGACACCAGGCCAAGAGGAGCAGGCCGCGCCCCCTCGGGCGCCTGCTCCTCCTGGTCCTCCTTCCTCAAACGAGGAAGGGGGAGGGGAGGGGAGGGTAACGGGAGGAGGAGTGAGGAGGAGGAGGAGGAGGAGGAGGAGGAGGAGGAGGAGGAGGAGGAGGAGGAGGAGGGGGAGGAGGAAAGTGCTTTCCTGCAAAGTGCTCCTCTCCTCCTCCTCCTCCTCCCTCCTCCTCCTCCTCCTCCTCCTCCTCGTCCTCCTACTCCTCCTTTTCTTCCTCCTCCTACTCCTTCTCCTCCTCCTCCTCCTTCCTTTACTCTCTTGAGGGGGCTGCTAGTCAGGATGGGCCCCTATCTAGAACGCCCCATACCAGGCCGTGAGCTGGGTCGTCCCAAGCAATAGGGGTTCCCCATTGCCGGTTCCTCGGCTTAGCCGTGACTCACCCGAGGAACTGTTCCATGGCAGATTGGTCAGTGACACTCTCTTCCGTCCTCTCCTCGCGGCGGCGTCGCCCCCGATCGCCTGAGGCACTCCGCCCTCAGCACCCGCCGGAACTGCGGGAACTCCGCCAAGAGCCTGGCGCCCTGCGCGTCCCCGGAGGTGCCGAGGTCCTGTCGAGCGCGTCCGTCGCGCCCGGCCGGCTGCCGAGACGGACTCTGGGCGGCGTCGCCGCGCAGGCGCTCTCCCGCGCAGGCAGGAGTGAGTGCGGGAGGAGGAAGCACAAAAACCAAACTTGCTCGCATCATGAAAACGACAAGGCGGACACTCCGGCAAACTTGGGTATCCATAGGCCCTCGCTGGGCCCGGGACCGTCAGAAAACAGCTCGGGATGAAAAACGAGATCTGGGGAAACAAGTTTAGTCGTCCGGGGACACTGTGTAATTAAAAAAGAGGATGAGGATGAGGAGAGGAGGATGAGGAGAGCAGGATGAGGAGAGGAGGATGAGGAGGACCACGGTGAATTCAAGACTCATTGACGATATTGTACTAAACCTACCTTCAAGTTCCCTCTTGCTAAGAAGGCCCTACACCTACAAACATTAATTTTCATTAGCGGAAATGCCCCGTTCAAAACAACAGTTTAAACAAAAAACAAAACTGTGCCAGAACACAACTCCTTAGACTTTCACGTCGCGACACACAAGTAGTGTGGCGGCTTGACGACCCTGAACCGTGCCAGAATACCATTCCTGGGACTTCCACACAACGAATGAACATAACTCTCGCACCCTGACAGTCAGACATCGTGCCAAAGCACCATTTCTGGGACGTCAACCATGAATTCCTCTTCCTCCTCCTCCTCCTCCTCCTCCTCCTTTTCCCCCCTCCATTTCCCCACCCTGAACACTGAGAGTCGCGGCACCTCGAGAAGCTCCTTGCCTCCTCCCGCCTCGCCGTGGCTCGCCTGAGTGACTGCCAAGCGAAGCTCGGGTGGACCGAGGCTAAGATCGAAGGCCTGCGCCCGAGTCTGGGCACAAGCGACACCACAGACGCAGGCTGCTGTCTGCGCCGTGGGCTTCGACGCGTCCAGCGTCGGGGAGGAGCTCGACAGCGGCAACGAAGAGCTGCTCAGGGCGACGTTCCAGGAGGACACCGAGCAGGAGGAGCGGACCCCCCTTGAGTCGGCGAGTTAGGACATGGCCGTGCGCTCCTCCTGCTGGGCTCGAGCCAAGCACTGTGTTTTTCGTTTTCGTGTTGTGTGTTCGTGTTCCTCGCTCTATCGTCGCTTCTCTGTTTTAACGCAAAACAGCCGGGGAGACGCTAGACTCGGGTACGGGGGACTCGGGGTGGCCTGACGCGGCCGGGCCACCAGAAAAGTGACGAGACCCAATCTGAAATTTGACGCGATCTCCTGCTGCAAACATCCCACGAAAACTGGACCGTCAAAATCCAGGACGCCCTCGTCAAAAAACGTTGGCAAACCCGAGTTCTGGCTTACTCGAGTCTTACGTTTTCCCGAAACAACGAAGCCAAACTGAAACTGGTCCACGCAATCGCCAAAACACCGGTTAGCTCGAGCCCTGCCCCTCTGTAAAGGAAGGAAAAGCACATAAACATAAACTTTTGACGGTCCGCGCGGATTTCTAGGATTTGCGCTTGGCCCCCCTCCCTGGCCTGCGGAGCGCGCCAGGGGCGGCGCCATAGGCGCCGCCGGGGGGCCCCAGCGCAGATGCAAGAAATCCGCGCGGAGCGTCGAAAGTTTATGTTTGGGTGGGTTTTTCTGTGCAGCGTGGAAAAATAAGAAATAGTCACCAAATCTCGAAACAAGCACAGAAATACTCCCAAAATGGTCCCCAGACTGTGTTTTGACTCTTTTTGGACATCCCCCCTGTAGAGGGACAGGCCCGACTCCGGGCTAGCTCCAGCCCTGTCCCTCTGTGCAGCTTTGAAGGGGCCGCAGGACACACAAATAAATACACACAAATTTAAATATTCCTCATATTTTCTTATATTTTCTGGGTTTTTGTCTTCCCCCCCACTTCCCATAGTTTCCAATATTTTCCTGGGAATCGACGATCGATTGTGTCTGTGTGTTTCTTCCTCTCCTGAAGCTTGGGAGGCAGATCGACGCTAAGGAGGCCAGTGCGCAGGAGCCCCACGTCGGCGCCAGCGCGGACCGGGTGCCGGCGGGACTCGGCAGCTCCGCCGTGCGCGGCGCCCTGCAGGGCGCGAGGGGCCGCGGGGCGAGCCCGAGGGTGGCTGCGAGAGGGTCGAGGCGGGGATGCTCGAGGCACGGCCGCCCTTGCTCTGCGCGCCGCCACGCTGGAGGTGGAGCGCCCTTGCGCCCGTGCTCGAGGCATGGAGGTCTTCGCGTATCTCCTCGTCCCTTCGCGTACTTCGTGCGCGAACCTCCGTGTCCCTTGCTCGAGGCATGGCGCCCTTGCTCTGCGCGCCGCCACGCCGGAGGTGGAGCTGCAGGACGCGCTGGAGCAGGTCTCCGAGGAGAAGGTCGAGAAGCACGTCGCGCGGACGCCGAGAGGGCAGCTCTGCGCGAGCTGCTGCGACCAGACGGTGATCGGGAAGGCAGTGCTGGACAAGCAGATCGAGCTTGAGAGCATCGGCGACCCCATCACGATGAAGACGTACCCAGGCGCAGGCGTTAGCGGCAGGCCGTCAGCGACATGAGCAACTGTAGCACGGCCGAGGTGATGACCATGAGCGGGGTCAAGGTCGAGGGCTCTTTCGAGGGCGAGCTCGAGGACCTGTTGATCGACAGGGTGACCTGCCGACGACAAGAGTACGGCGAGAAGGTCGTCTGCGAGCCAAAATGGGATTGCAACAGAGGTTACTTGGTACGCCAGAGGGCCTCGTCAACCCCATCATTATGAAAAATGCCTTCGTGCGGCAGCATGAGGGCAAGTTCGAAGCTGGTGGCAAGGTGAAACTCGACCCGCAGCTCGAGGTGAAGGATCACGCTAATTATCCTGCAGGATGAGAAATTGAAGGAAAAATTTGCGGACGGAGACAAGGTGCAGGTCGAGAAGGCGGGGCCACCCTAGGACAAGCCGAAGGTGATCCAGGAGCTCGCGGACTCGATCAGCCGGTGCCAGCAGCTAAACGTGCCCAGCACGTCTACCGAGCGCCTCGAGCAGGGGCTCGCGGCTCTGACGTCTGGGACGGGGGCTGTGGCAGTGCGGATGGCGCCTGAGGTCTTGCAGTGAGCCTCACTTGCACCATCTGGTTCCGCACTTTCCGGAGCCCGCTTTGGCTCCATGCGTCCCTCTAGGGCTCCTGTGGGTGCTGGGCGTCCTGGGTCTCCTGGGGCCTCAGGAGAGGAGGAGAGCACACAAACATCGACTTTGGGCGCTCCGCGCGGTTTATTGGATCCGCGCCGGACTCCCCTCCCTGGCGCGCGGAGCGCACCAGGGGCGGCGCCGGAGGCGCCGCCGGGGGGGGGGCCCAGCGCGGATCCAAGGAATCCGCGCGGAGCGCTAAACGTTTATGTTTACGTGGCTTCTTCTTCTTCTTCTTCTTCTTCTTCTTCTTCTTCCCATTCTTCTTCTTCGAGGTCTGGGGGCCTTCGTCCCTTGGGGCGTCAGGGCCTCGGGTGCCCTGGTGGCTCGGGCCCGTTTGGGTGCGGGCCGTCCCCCCGCGGGGGTGTGCGGGGGTGCCCTCCGGGGCCCCGAGCCGGGTCTCGGATGGCACTCGCTTCTTCAAGTGTTGGGTCGGGCACCGGGGGGCAGGAGGGGCAAAACGGAGAGTCAGGTCGCCTGGGATAAGGCCCTGTCCACCCCCCTCGGAAGTCGGTCGGGGGGAGGCTATTGCTGATCGAGCCACTCAGGTCGTGGTAGTGATAGGGTCTGGGATTTTAGAAACGGCCCCGGACTCAGACAACGCGTTCTTGAATTTAGTAAACCGGCTTCTGCGTTTACTACATGATATCTTGTCCTGTTTTGATTCCGCGGCGCAATTAAATGAATCTCCTTCGCTTGAATAAATCATCGTCTTCTCAATAATCGGCGGCGGACAAACCTCCCTTTAGTAAACCTCCCCTTAGTGAAAATGGCCTAAGACCGAGACCGACGGACCTGGACCCGCAAAAATGATAGCCGCGACGCCCTCCCGCGAACCGCAGACGGCCAATTCCTGGATCGACGCGTCAGGGCAGGAGGTCTACCAGCCTCCGATATGATTTGTTTTAAGAGCGCGCGTTCATTCACTATCGGATGCGGCCAAGACGGGGGTGTCCAAGAGGGGGGGGTGCAAATCATGTCCGGCGGCACGTGCGCGGCCCAGCGGGGTGGCCAGGGACGTCATGAAACAAGAAGAGGCGCCATGAGGTCTCGGGAAATATGATGCCCCCCGCCATGATGTACCACCCCCCCCCCCCTAGTCATCACCCCCCTCTTTGCCGCCCCCGACATTACCATGATCTGTGCTCGCCCCCCGAAGCCCCCGGGGGGACCCGTGGTCACAAAGGGCGAAAGGCCACTCTTCGTGCGGGGCGGGCTCCGGGCAGGGGCGGGGGGCCCGCTCGGCGGGCCGTCCCCGCGGAAGGCCCGGGGGCGCACCCGGGCAGCCCTGCCGGAGCGAGTTCCCCTGCAGGGGGATATCCGACGAAGGTTGGAAAATACTCCTCCTCCTCCTCCTCCTCCTCCTCGTCCTCCTCCTCCTCCTCCTCCTCCTCCTCCTCCTCCTCCTCCGCCCTCCTCCCTCCTCCCTCCGCCCTCCTCCCTCCGCCCTCCGCCCTCCGCCCTCCGCCCTCCTCCTCCTCCTCCTCCTCCTCCTCCTCCTCCTCCACCTCTTCCTCTTCCGCCTCAAAACATATTCAACCATAGCCAAACAAGGTTGTTACAACATAATCGTCCCAAGACAATGCTCTTGTCACGTGCTCGAACAGTCTTCCTGTAGGGGGACAGGCCCGACTTAATGCAAGTGCCCACTCTTGGGACGCAGCCGTGCACGGCACTCCACGTGGCGCCGCTTCTGGAGCCTGTAGGCCGCAGGCCCCAACACGCAGGGGATGCGGGGGGGGGGGGGGGGAACCCACTGTGGCCTTCTTTTTCCCAACCAACCTGTGGTGTTGGGTCCTCGTTCTGAAGAGACGGTGCCCCGCGTTCCTCTTCTCCTCCTCCTCCCCCCCTCCCTTCCCATCCCGTCATCATCATCATCATCATCATCATCATCATCATCATCATCATCATCATCATCATCATCATCATCATCATCATCATCATCATCATCGATCAGTTCATGGCACACCCCTCACATCAGCGAAGGCCCCAGTGGCAGGGTCCGCATGCCTCCCCACCACCCATTTCGGCACACCCCTCACACGTTTCGTGGCCCCATAGGGAGCTCCACCGAAGGCCCCAGTGGCAGGGTCCGCATGCCTCCCCACCACCCATTTCGGCACACCCCTCACACGTTTCGTGGCCCCATAGGGAGCTCCACCGAAGGCCCCAGTGGCAGCGTTCGCATGCCTCCCCACCACCCATTTCGGCACACCCCTCACACGTTTCGTGGCCCCATAGGGAGCTCCACCGAAGGCCCCAGTGGCTGGGTTCGCATGCCTCCCCACCACCCATTTCGGCACACCCCTCACACGTTTCGTGGCCCCATAGGGAGCTCCACCGAAGGCCCCAGTGGCTGGTTCGCATGCCTCCCCACCACCCATTTCGGCACACCCCTCACACGTTTCGTGGCCCCATAGGGAGCTCCACCGAAGGCCCCAGTGGCAGGGTCCGCATGCCTCCCCACCACCCATTTCGGCACACCCCTCACACGTTTCGTGGCCCCATAGGGAGCTCCACCGAAGGCCCCAGTGGCCTGGTTCGCATGCATTCCCCAACACCCATTTCGGCACATCCCTCACACGTTTCGTGGCCCCATGGGGATTTCCACTGAAGGCCCCAGTGACTGGGTTCGCATGCGCCCCCACACCCATTTCGGCACACCCCTCACACGTTTCGTGGCACCATAGGGAGCTCCACCGAAGGCCCCAGTGGCTGCGTTCGCATGCCGCCCCCACACCAATTTCGGCACACCCCTCACACGTTTCGTGGCCCCACAGGGAGCTCCACCGAAGGCCCCAGTGGCTGCGTTCGCATGCCGCCCCCACACCAACTTCGGTGCACCCCTCACACGTTTCGTGGCCCCATAAGGAGCTCCACCGAAGGCCCCAGTGGCAACGTTCGCATGCCGCCCCCACACCCATTTCGGCACACCCCTCAAACGGTTCGTGGCCCCATAGGGAGATCCACCGAAGACGGTACTCACACCAGCATTACTCACAACTGCATATGGTTGGGTCCTTCGCCAGGCTAATTTGGGGTTGAGCGGACGTGAGGCTGGGCCTGTGGGCCTGTTGCGTTCTCTATCTCCTCCTCCTCCTCCTCCTCCTCCTCCTCCTCCACCTCCTCCCTCTTCTTCTGCTCCTCCTCCTCATCCTCCTCCTCCCTCTCCACCTCCTCCCCCTTCTCCACCTCGCCATCCCTCCACTCCTCCACCTCTCCTCCTCCTTCTGCGCTGCACCGAGCACTGCAATAGGGTCGGGCATGTCCGCCTACAGGCGGATTCGGTCGACAAATTAAACATACACCAAAAATACCATCAAAATCATTCAACCTACAATACATTTTATTTGTATATATATACATATACATATACATGAATATATATATATATAGAGAGAGATAGAGAGAGAGAGAGAGAGAGATATTCCTCCTGTAGAGGGACACGGCCGATTTCACACTGCAAGCTGAACTCGCAGCCGCCCTCCTGGGCCTCCCGCCAGCAGGGCCGGCCCGCCCGCCGGGCCCTCCGGTCCTGCTTGTGCAGGAGCATCACGTGGCCGTCCTTCTCGCACCGCACGGTGGCGGTGCGGATCGACCCGGTGATGATGTCCTGAGGGCGCCCGGGAGCGGAGAGCAGACGAACCACCCTCATAAGGGCGCATGTTTCGACTCGCAGCCACAGCGGGCGTCACAGGAGGGGAGGGGGGGGACGCGGGGGGGGAGGGCGGGGGGGAGGGGGGGGGTGTAGAGAGTACAACGCGCATGATGGCCCAGATGCCAGAGGGCGACACACACACACACACACATTCTCCCAGGATCGGAGAGTAGACGAACCACCCTCATGACAAGCGCCGCGACGAGCGAAGCCGTTCTGCAAGCGCACCCTGGGCCCCCGGGATCCTCGATCGCGTACAGTGGGGGCCCGTCCACAAGAAACCTTCCACAAGAAACCCAACCCTGAGACCGCAGGACGTCCACTGATTTTTGGTGTGGGAACGTCGGGCTCTCCATCGCAAAACCATCGAAACCCAACAAACTCAGGGCACCCTGGAGGCAAGCAGGGTGTTTCTTGGTACGGGTCTCCATTGTACGTCCCGCGCGGGGCAGCGGCTGCAAACAAAAGCACCCCGCCTCCGCGGGGTCGCGGCCCGCGAGGCCGTGGACGTGGAGATGCCCCCCACCCGCCCGTGACACACGTCCACCGTGCTGACAGAAGTCTACAGTTAGGTCGGGCATGTCCTCCTACAAAGGGACTTTAGACTGACAAAAATACCCATTCCCCATG